AGACAGTTTCCGAGACATTCCCTTGAGGGGAATGTCCCGGGTAGACAGCCATACCTCCTGTCCGATGGTGTACTCAGGAGCGGGACGTCTCTTAGAGTCGGCAAAACGTTTGGTGGTCTCTGATGATCTGTTGAGGGTGGTGATGATTTCCTTCCAAATCTTTTGACAGCGGCGGATGTGTTGGTTGATGGTCCTGACTGCTATCTCCTTTTCATCTGCGGGAAAAGGTGGTGGTTGGTATCCATGACTGACCTGAAATGGTGACTGGCCGGTGGAAGAAGATCTCTGGGAGTTATGGGCGTACTCGATCCAAGGGAGGTATTGGCTCCAGTCGGTGGGGTTGTTGGAGGTTAGGCAGCGGAGGGTGGATTCAAGGTGCTGATTCATGCGCTCGGTCTGACCGTTGGATTGTGGATGATAACCTGAAGTTAAAGCAGACTTACAGCCCAGAGCTGAGCAGAAGGCTTTCCAAACTTGAGAGATAAATTGAGGACCACGGTCTGATAGGATTTCCTGGGGAATGCCATGTAATCTGAAGACGTGTTTCACAAGAAGCTGAGCAGTCTGGAACGCCGAGGGGAGCTTCCTGAGAGGGACTAAATGACAGGACTTGGAAAAACGGTCAACGATGGTGAGTATTGTGGACATACCTCGAGAGACGGGGAGACCAGTGACGAAATCTATGGCAATGTGGGACCATGGACGTGAAGGGATCGGAAGAGGTTGTAGCAGACCAGAGGGTGGCTGATGCGAGGCCTTGTTTCTAGCACAAGTGGGGCAGGCCAGCACATATTCCTTTACGTCCCTGTGGAGAGTGGGCCACCAGAAGCGTCTGGTGATGAGAGCGATGGTTCTACTGACTCCAGGGTGGGCCGAGAATTTGGCAGTGTGCATCCATTGAATGAGCCTGGACCTGACGGAAGACGGAACATAAGTTCTGTTAGCCGGACCGTTACCTGGGTCGGGTTCCGTGGCCAGGGCGGAGTTAATGAGATCGGATATCTCCCAGTTCACGACTCCCACAGTACAAGAGGCCGGGAGGACTGGCTCTGGTGTCTCGGGTTGATCGACGGAGTATAGGCGCGAGAGGGAGTCTGGTTTCACATTCTTTGATCCGGGTCTGTAGGAGATAACGAGATTAAATCTGGAGAAGAAAATGGACCACCTGGATTGACGAGGGTTGGCCTGTTTGGCAGACTGGATGCTAGCAAGGTTCTTGTGATCAGTCCAGACTAGAACCGGGTGCTCAGCTCCCTCTAGCCAGTGTCTCCACTCCTCCAACGCCAATTTGATGGCTAATAGTTCTCGATCTCCAACGCCGTAGTTCTGTTCTGCTGATGAGAGTCTGCGAGAGAAAAAAGCGCATGGATGAATCTTTTGATCTGAGTCGAGTCTCTGGGAAAGGACGGCTCCAACGCCAGAATCCGAAGCATCGACCTCCAGGATGAACTGTTTAGAAGGGTCAGGCTGAATTAACACCGGTGCTCTGGAAAACAAAGATTTCAGTTTATCAAAAGCAGCCTGAGCTTCGGGAGTCCATTGAAAATTCCTCTTAACCGAAGTTAAAGAGGTCAGAGGTTGAGCCGTCTGGCTATAATTTCTAATGAAACGACGGTAAAAATTGGCGAACCCCAAAAACCTTTGAAGCTGTTTTCGAGTTTCAGGAATCGGCCAGTCCAATACCGCCTTTATCTTGTCCTCAGCAGGCTTAACCTGCCCGCCCTCGAGCACAAACCCCAAAAAGGTCACTGATGGTTGGTGGAACTCACATTTTTCTGCCTTGACGAATAACTTGTTCTCCAGTAGCCTCTGTAACACCAGGCGGACATGTTTCTTGTGATCAGTTAAGTTCCGTGAATAAATGAGTATGTCGTCTATATAGACAAAGACAAACACATTTAAAAAGTCTCTGAGAACATCATTCACTAGTGCTTGAAAGCAGGCGGGGGCGTTTGTTAAACCAAAAGGCATCACCAGGTACTCGAACTGACCTAATGGTGTCTTGAAAGCAGTCTTCCATTCATCTCCTTCTCTGATTCTGAGGAGATGATATGCGTTTCTCAGATCCAGTTTGGTGAAGACTGTTGCCCCCTGAACAGGTTCAAAAGCTGAGGCTAGGAGAGGTAGAGGGTACTTATTCTTTATAGTGATTTGGTTCAACCCTCTGTAGTCAATGCATGGTCTTAATGAACCATCCTTCTTGCCAACAAAAAAGAAACCAGCACCCAAAGGAGAAGAGGACGGGCGAATAATTCCAGCAGCTAAAGACTCGTTAATATACCTCTCCATTGTCTCTCGTTCTGGTTTGGAGATGTTATATAAACGGCTGCTGGGTAACGGTGCTCCAGGTAACAACTCAATTGCACAGTCATATGGTCTATGTGGTGGAAGGGACGTAGCACTGACCTTACTGAAGACCGGGGCCAAGTCATGGTACTCAAAGGGAACTGAAGATAGGTCAGGAGAGTCCATCTCTCCCCCCCCTCTAGGAGGCCCCACCACGGGGGCTGCCGACCGAAGACAAGTCTCATGACATGACGAAGACCATGCTTCCACGTGACGTTCAGTCCAATTAATGCGTGGATTGTGTTTCTCCAGCCATTCGAATCCGAGCACCAATGGGGAACATGCAGAAGGAATGACAAAAAATGTGATAGTTTCCCGATGGTTACCTGAGAGGAGGAGCTCGAGGGGTTGAGTTTGATGAGTAACTTGGTAGAGATTTTTCCCATCAATGGCAGAGACACGGAGAGGTTGAGAAAGGGGAACAGTTTCAATCATCAACTGTTGAACAAGGTTAGCGTCTATGAGGTTCCGTTCACAGCCTGAGTCAATAAAGGCAGAAAAGGAGAGGTTCTGATTATCACAAAACAAAGTGGCAGGAAGCATCAATCGAGGAGATTTCTTAGAGTTGGTTTGGCCCGCCAGACTCCTCAGATCCTCTGGCGGGCCCTGCCTTTTAATTTAGCCGGGCAGGAAGCAATGAAATGTCCACTTTCACCACAATAGATGCAAAGTCTGCTCAAAAAACGTCTTTGTCTCTCCTCAGGAGTAAGCCGAGTGTGTCCCACCTGCATAGGTTCGACCTCCATACCACCTGAATGTGAAGCCTGAACAGGCAGAGGGAGGGACTGGGCCTTTGGTCGCTCTGTGGGAGGAGAAGAAACCGTCACGATATTTGAGGCAGATGTAGGGGCGTGAGACCCAGAGTTTCTTATCTTGGAGCTGTTTCTGGCTCTAATTCTGTTGTCCAATCTAATTGTTAGTTTGATTAGATCCTCAAGGGAGGCTGGCTCGTCGAGAGTCGCCAGTTCGTCTTTAATATTCTCATTTAAGGCCATGAAATAAGCTCCCTTCAGAGCACTTTGATTCCATCCGGAAGCTGCTGCCTTAACCCGGAAGTTGATCGAAAAATCAGCCACAGATGAATCTCCCTGCTTAATACTGAAAAGAGCACGAGAGTCAATTGTTTGATCAGTTTCTTGATTAAAAACCTGGGAGAACTCAGAAATGAAATCAGAGTATCGGCAGTTGAGACTTTCATATGAGGGAAATCTGGCCTGGGCCCACTCCAAAGCTCTTCCTGTTAGTTGAGAGAGAATAAAGGTTACTTTCTTAAAGTCCGTCGAAAAACCGTTGGGAGAGTTCTGGAACAATAATCTGCACTGAAATAAAAATCCTCTGCATTCCTTCATATTACCCGAGAATTTTTCAGGTAGGCTTAGGCGGAACTCTGATGACGTCACTTCTGGTGACCTCAGAGGGGGAATTGGACCCGGAAGTGGTTGCGCTGCCGGAACGGCATTAGCGCTTCCAAAATAGCCGGTGAAAGACTGTAAAGTCTGGTTATGGTGTTCAACAAAAGCATTCAACTCACGGAGAGTTTTGGCTTGACCATGGACTTGAGCTTCTAGTACTTCAAGCCTCCTCCGGAGGTGCTCTGCTGGGTCCTGTGTTTGGCCGCAGTGTTCTGTCATGATCGGTACACGAATGTGACCCAATTATGCAGAACACCACGACACAGGAAACAGATGAAAAGTTAACAGAGTTTATTGAATACAATCCAATGGTAGTTTGTTCTGGTATGGTCCTGGGCAACGGGTTCACCGGAGTCTGTGAGGAAGACAGTTAGTTAGCTGGGCTCTTAGCGGTTTGTCCTTTGATAGTCTCTGGTTTGTACCTTGTGGGTCCTTGAATGGATCTTGGAGAGGAAGGTTGTTGGAACTGGAGAGAGTCTGATTAGCTGAGTCCGTTAGCTGCTTCAGCGTCTTGCTTCTGAAAGGTAGCTGACCTTGACTTAGGATCTCCAGCTCTTGGTCCAGAGCTGCAAGAGAATCCAGGGGAAGTCTTCAGGTTTGGCTCTGAGGGCAGGCTCGGTGGGTTAAGCTCTTCCAGAGCTTCACGAAGGAGATTTTCCTGGAAAAACAGAGACAAGATTAGGATCCTGTCAGGATCTCAGAGCAAGCAAAGTTCTCAGAGGTTCAGGGCTTAGGTGCTAACCAACTGGCTCAACACTGCGGCGTTGAGGCAAGGTCTGAAGACAGCTTAAGTAGTGGGTCCTCCTGATGATGGTAACGAGCAGCAGCTGTGCAGAGGGCTCTGCTCAGGAGGATCCACGGCAGACTCTGCTGGAGAAGAGAGGTACTTCTCCAGCTTCCAACAGAATGTCTACTATTGCTGCATGGTCCTCAAAGAGAATCATGAAGAGTCATTGAGTCAATTCAATCAGCTGGTTTTCCTTATATAGAAAACTTTGAACCAATCCGATTGGATGATCCGGTTGAATTTTCTCTGTAAAGTGCCTTGAGCAGTCAATGCAGTAAAATAAACAGCAGCTAATGGCGTCCTGCTCTTTGAAAACAAAGCTGCATTTTTCAGCTTGTAAGACTCAGAATAGAGTTTGCATTACAGGCAAATAACCTATAGGCTGACATGAATCATAGGGAAATAAACACTTAAGTCACACTGGTGAGTCACTGATTTACCTAGGGTGTGACTTCACTGAATCTCATGAGCTATAAGACCTTTCAATTCCAAACCAATTGAAACCTGGGAAGCAAGAGTAAAGGAAGGCCAAGAAAACTGAAGAATTTCACCTGAGAACCGACAAAGGTAAGGATTTTAGAAGTTATTCAGGTCTTTTTAGATGTTATTTAAAACTGAGTAACCATTTCATTTATTTAACATAAATTATTCCGTAAATTCAGCTCACAGAGAAATTTTTTGAAATTATTTCCTGAATAAAACATAAAAAAATAGAAACCAAGAAACTCAAGGGATTTTGCTTCCTTTTTTTTTGGGTTAGAGTTAAACCTTACTTTTTAATGCTAACCCAAGCCCTGAACTATATCAATTATATTTTTAAGTTGCAGCTGCTGTTTTTATCATTTACTTCACAAATTCTAGAGGCTGCTACATCTTCCTTAAATTAACTTTACAGACCTGAGCCTGCAACATTCTCTTGGGAATGCCTAATTCCATCTCTAGATGAATTATTCAGTTCTCACTGCATCAGGAAAGCACAAAACATAATTGAGGACAAAAGCCCACCCCAGCATTTATTTAACTGTTGCCCTCTGGCAGACGTTTGAGGTAGAATAAATCGACCAGCCGCCTCTAACTGCTGGATGTTCACATATTTTGTTCTCTCTGATATGCACTGAAATTATATCACCAGGACAGATTGTAAAAATGTGTTATTCATTGTTGGAAAACCTAGAGCAGGGTTCAATAGTTACAAATCTTCAGGGTCTGAACGTGGAAAATCAGCAAACCACAAAAGTTTAATGACATTCAATATTTATCAGTTACTTTGAACAATATTTAATACAGAAATAAAATGCATTTGTTTATACACCTGTGTTTTAATTTACATATAACGAATAACTTGAAAGTATAACTTTAAGCTTCACAGACCTGTCCTTATTGGTATCTGAAGTGCTTTTTGAAATAAAGAACAATCCTTGACAATTCAGGTTGCCCTGAGAGGTTTTAAAAACAGGAGTTGGAAGGTAGCAAAGCCATTTTCAAGAACACATCTAGGTGCTCATTGGTGAACATGGAATAATAATATATTTATTTTTGATTATCTTCATGGTTGACATGAAGATAATTGAAATTTGTTAAGCCAGTCAATACAACTTAGACATATTTTTTTGATCATTTTGTATACACAAGTGTAGACAAAAAGAAACTTCGTTTAGAACAGCTCTTTAGACAATTTTGTTTTTTAAAGAGCAGCCTTGGTAAGATACTACTGCCTCCAGCTCCTGAAGCACCCACTTCTCCTGGCTCAGGGGAGGAAGAGGATGATGATGACGATGCAGTGAGGGTGGTACCCCCTGGGTTGAAGATGCTGACGTGGTTGAAGCAGCAGTTGTGCCATCTGCAGCTTTTAGCAGCGGCAGACGATGCTGGAGGTGTGGAAGCCGGAGCGGGCAGGGAGGAGCCGGCTGGGGATGTTTCAGCATTTGGCAGGGAAGCATCTAGAATGCTCCCCTCATTTTCACCTGCAGAGGGCAGTGCTTCCCCTCTAGATGCTGAAGATTGCCTGGGAACAGTCTCAGAGGAGCCTCCATTCATGCAGAGCTCTTTGTTTCTATTGGCACGGTACAGCATCAGTACCCCAGGCCAACAGCACCGTCCAGTATTGCTGGATTCAGCCAAGACCTCGTCAGAATGATGGCGCAGCAGTTACATATCTCCTTTTTTGAAGAGAGTTTGAGTCAGAGATTATCCATTAGCCAAACATACTCAAAAGGTAATGTGCCCTTAAGTGTCTAAATCCCCTGACAGATTTTAGACTAACATTTTGATCAAGGCTTACTGATAATTAAGCTTCTGTTTTTTCCATTCGGAACTGATATAGGCTTATCTATTTTGGATAAACATATTTTGAACAGTAGGATTAAGGTTTAGTATATCAAGTTTATTTCGTGGAATGTGTCTTTTCGAAATCCTATTCTGTGAAATTAAGCTGGCAAATCAAATCATTTTTTTTTTCCTTTAAATAAATGTTTCAAGAATTTAATTCATTTTCTAATCCAGCTGGGAAAGCTTATCATAGATTTACTGGAAGTGTAAGGTTTTTGTGTGCTGAAGAAAGAGTAATATATTTTCTGCTTAACTGATTTTTATGCACTGCAAAAAAAGTAAATATAAGTGAGTCATTTTTTTCTTGTGTATTTTTCTTGAACTGAGCGGGTAAGTGGGAAACTTTACCAATGTAATAAAAACATTTGCATTTAAAATAAGAAAAGAAAATATTATCTTACTTGAAGTGTATACTATCTAATAATCTTATTTTAAGGGTAAAAATACTCATTCATCTTATTTTCCTATTCAAATTAAGGGTAAATACTTTTATTTTGAAATTTTTTTACTCATTTTCAGAATGTTTTTGCAATGTGTTCTATCTTCTTGCATTTAATAACTTTAATAACATTGATTTTATCCGATTGCTGCAGCTTGTGGTTCAATCCATGTATCCTTGTTTAGTGCCCCATTGCAGATTAACGCAGAAAGAAGTTTGATTATTTGTTTTACTAAATGCTGTTGTGATTTTTAACCAATTTAGGAAATTGTGTACGAAGACAAAATATACTTTGAGATGCAAACAAAAACTTCCTATTAACTTTATCAACCACTTATTTGTGTGTCTGGTGATAATATGTTGGTTTTAATGTTTCACTGTAGGAATTGTCTAGTAGATTTATTAATCTCTGAACATTGATAGATGCATGCCTTCCCTTTATGATACCAGGTTGTTCTAAATATATCTAACAAGAAATAACTTTTCAAATTATATTAAGCTCAACTTTAATTAGATCCAAAGGTGGCAGAGATGAGTTCGTGCAGATTTATTTGATGTTGTAGCATCAGAACAATAAATCCAATCAACAACAGGCAGGGAAACCAGGAACCAAAACAGGGAGACATTCAGGAGGAACATACATTAGAAATTAAGTAATGAAGAGAAACCAGCACTGGGGAACTGAACATGAGGAGTTATATACGGGAGACAGAAGAAATACTGGGGTAATCAGCTGACTAGGAGCAGATGTAGACAGAAGCAACTAGAAACTAGGGTAAAGGAGACTGGCTCAAGGGGGCAACAGAGAGTAACACAGAAAACAACACTGCTAGAAAACAATCACAATGGCACAAAATGGGAAAGAAACCAATGAGCAAGAAAATACAAAATCACACAGCAACTGAAAACTAAAAAAAGAAGTGGGCAGAACCATGACAGGTAGGATAGATAAGGACTGATGTTTGCAGAATTCATATTTGGCAGAAGCTTGTCCCTTTCCATAATTTACAGCATTTTCTGGGATTTTGGTTCCAGATTATATCAGAATTCTTTATAAAATTCTTCTGGAAACCCAACAGGACATGGAGACTTTTATTGGGCATGATTTTTGAGAGCTTCCTGAAGTTTAACTGTTGTTAGCAGATAATCCAGGGCCTTGGTTTGCTTATCACATAATGTAGGAAGTGTTATTTTGTCTAACAATGTATCATTGTTACTATCTGATGGATTTATTGTTGATGAATATATAGCTTTATTAAAGTATCTAAAACAGCATCTACCCTGTTAAGTCTATACCAGTACAGACAGTTGTTTTTTTCTTTATTTGTTTTAAGCTGGTTTGCTAAAAAGCTTCCTGATTTAATGATGAGAACATTTTTTAATGCAAAATATTTATATTAAGATATTGCTTAGGAATTCATAAGCAGGGTTTAAATGAAAAACTTAAGCAGTGTTTGAATGAAAAAACTTTTGAATTTGCAGTGTTTGTAACAACTAGCATAAAAAATGTCTGACACATTGTTTATATTATTACCATAATTTTAATTATTATTGCACTAAATTGAACTGAATACCAAATTTGAATACGGAATTAAATATAGCAGCGATCATTAAAAAAAATCTACATTGAAAACCAGTTGGAAATGGTATGAAACATGCTCTCATTGATTCCTGGGTCAGCCTTTCTCAAAAGCTTCATGTTCTGGGGCTGGTACTATCAGGGGTTATTTGCATTATGATAGTGACAGTTAGCAAGGTGGAGTGAATACACAAACTTTGGGAGGGGAGTGGAGATTTGCAGGAAACCTGAAATTCTTGGGACTTGCAGTGTTAAAGCTACATGATGTTTTATAATCTGATGTCTCAGTGATGTTAATGGGACATTTTTAGTAACTAATTTCCCGTATTCTGTGCCAATATAGTACCAAAACAAAATGTACTTTAATGCCCAGGTGGACACCTGACCTGACTTTCTTAAAAAAAAAAACTTGTGGGTAAAACATCGAGACAGCAGGAAAAGTTGCTAAGCTTAAAGTGACAGTATTGGTACTGCAGTTGGCGTTAATGTACAGAATTATTTTCTAATACCTTGTATTTTCTCAGTATAGCACTTTGCAAAGTAATTGCAGCCCTTTTTAGATTAGAATTCTTCTGCCACAAACATAGGAGGGTTTGTTAACCTGCTGACTGTGGCAAATAAGGCTCATTGTTGATGTGTTGTTGATAATTCTCTTTTAGTTGTGCCTGTGGAGTCTCTTTATAAATATCACAGTAGTGCATTTTTTTCACCACCTTCATTCAGTTTTATGGCACTCCATATATTAATTTCTAAATACTGGAGCATTTCTCCATGGAGATTTCATCTTTCCAGAGACAACTTTAACTGCAGCAATGGAATCCATTATGCCTGCAGCTTTAGAATGGAAACTATCTACCAGCTCATCTACTGAGTTACAGGGTAAAGTGGAAACAGAAGGATAAACCTGGGTTTAGTTTACAATTGTACATTCCATAATAACACGTTTTCTTATAACATCTTTAGGCCATTAGATCAGTGGGAAAAAATTGTTTCAAAGTAAAGAAACAAATGGTCTGATAGGGCAACATGAACTACTGAAACATTAGATATAGAAGTCCAGCCGACTTGATTGTGAGTTGGCTGTTTAACATGATGAGTCAAATTAAAAATACAAGTATATCAGTTTGATAAGGTTTTTTCTGGTTTTCTTCAGTATTAGTTAAGCTAGATTTTACAATAGAGAAAAATCACTAAAATGTATCCTGCACCTTATGATGACATAAAATAAATGCTTTAGACTAAGATGTACAGTCAAATTATAATTTTTAATAAGGTCCTGCAACACAGTAATGATTGAATTTTAAGATTGTATTGGAAGAATGTTTTTATGGTTCATGTTTCCATAGTTTCCTCAGTACATTTTAATCAGGGTGTGGACTTCTAAGTCCTGCAGATGAATCCCTCTACTGGTTCAGCTGCAGTCCGACTGAAGAACAGACAATGATTTCCAGAGTTGATGAAATTACCTGAATCTGTTCCTTTTATGGATGTTTTTGTCTTTTTCTACACCACAGATGTCAAATATCTCACAACATGATTGGACATACACGATGGATAGAATCTTTCAGAAGCTGGATGACACTCAGTACAAGGAGATGGTGGATTTTTTTGATGAGCAACCTGAATTTACCTCACCAGCAAGGCTCAATGCCAAGTTTAAGAAGGAGCTTCCTGAGAAACTAAATCAGGTGTTTGGCATAGATGGATCCATCAACTTGGTCAACGAAGCAATGAATATGATACCAAGAAACGACCCTGGTGTCCAGGATCTACTGCGTCCATTTGTGGCCAAACTACGACCACAGGGTGAGTTCTCAGTTATTGGAAGTGTAATGTTGAATCATGTTCAGGCCTGATCCTTTACCATATTGGCTAAAATTATTCCTTTAACTCCTGATTTCCTGGTTCTGGGGAGAAAAATTAGAAGATCCATGGCTGGTGGAGGTTTCTACAGTAGGTCCTTATCAGAAATTGTTGATGTTGTATTTTACAGCAGCTGATTTGATGATCAGGTTAAGATCCTCAATCCTCTATGCTGGTCAGTCAGTTTGTCTATTAGATATTTTTGTATTTGAGGTTATAAGACACATCAGAAAAAATTGTTAGGGTGTTCTAGGGGAGGTTTTTGTTACTTTTCTCAGTAGTTTTCTTGTCTTGGCTTGGATAAACTCCTTGTCATGCCTGGTATGTTGTGTCAGCTCATCTAAACAGACGGCAATCCTCATTCTTACATATGAGATGCCTGTCTGAGGAGCAATGTTAGGTCTGAATTCATCTATAATGTGGCTGCAGAGCAGACGCTACCTTGCAGCTCACCTATTCCCCAGCTTACCAGGGCACTTGAGACCAGATTGTTTGTTGAAGACTATCTTTCCTGCATTACAAAACTCCTCAACTGACTCATCAGGGCCCTTGGAAACAGCCTTAAAAACCTAGTTGTTCATTATAGCAGGTGATTGATATTTTCGAGGAGCATAGAAGCAACATCGACCTCATATGTACCGTTATCTTGTGAGTGTAAACAGGATTCTTTTCTCTGATGTTAAAAGCAGAAAAATAGGCCAGGTGGGCCAAATCAATCACTTTGATTTTTGCTGCCTTTCCTGTCCTCGTCAAGAAAATTTTGCTGCACAGAATTGGCAGGTCCTTCCCAAACTTTTCTCTATGATCTTCAGGGTTTGGGAGAAGTTTGGCAGTAGACTGAATGTCATTAGCGATCCAGGGACAATAAACTCCATCAGGGTCACTGTTGAGGCCAGCACCCTCTATCAACGGCATAGTGATGCTGCTGTTGGATCTGCGAGCTTTTTCTTTAAGCAAGCATGCTTGTGCAGGGTAACAGGGTAGAAGTAGTTTTCAAAGCCAGACTTGCACAAAGGGGTCTTGGAATATGGTTTCGTCTGACATCATCAGCACCCTTATCAGATGGTGGTGGTTTCTGTTGCACTGAAGCTGCTTGTGCTGGGGATCGATTGGGTCACTGGATCAGAAGGAATGTGTCCAGGTCTAAATCAACCATTTTCAATGTGTGGAAACCAGCCTGTAATGGAGCATAGTTAGATTGGGGTGAAGTATCACTAGTGGTATATGAGGGTAGGCCAAGCCAAACAGTAGTAGCTTCAATAACAACTGGCCTCATGCAACAACAATTTCATATTCTTGTCATAAATTTTTCTTTTCTTGCTTTTTCTTTTACCACAGGCTGCTACAAATGCACCACATCAGATTCATCAAACACTCTCAACTTCATTGCATTATCCTAAATGATCCTCCTAAACCTACTGTGAGCATGTTTTCATGAGAAATGTAAATCTGCATAATTACCGCGCCAATAATGCCATACAACTGCTACGTCTGTTAGTGCTTGTCAGGCTCTGTTCATTCATAGAAATGGCTTTGAGGAACAAGAAGAGAGACTTTACGGGTTTAGAGATCAAGGTTCTAATGACAAAGAAATGAGCAGAACTGAGTTTTCGGTTTCACAACGGCTGCAATTAATTATTTCAATAAATTCTAAATCAATGGTCCCTAACCTTTTTTGCGCCACGGACCGGTTAAATGTCAGACAATATTTTCATGGACTGGCCTTTGAAGTGTGGGGGGTAAATACAATTAAATAAAAAGATACAACTGTCATAAAAACAAATACAAACCGCGTAAAAAAACTCACCATTACGTTGAATTAGTTGGAGCAATGAGCTTGTCCCATCTAGGAGTAATCGGAGGCAAGGACACACGTAGTCCGTTCCTGATGTCCAATCTGCTCCTTAGATTTTTTGGTTGCTGTAACCACAGAAAATCCCACTTCACAAAGATAGGATGTTGGAAAGGGAAGCAGGGTTTTCAGGGCCTTTGTGGCAATCTCAGGATATTCTGCCTTGATTTTAATCCAGAATGCTGGCAGAGTTGTTTTCTGAAACAAAGTTTTGAGGCCTCTGTAATTTTCAATCTCCAGGAGTTATTCCGCTTCTTGTCATAAAACGGGGCAGATGCACCCACTATTCAAGGTGAGACAGCCAGTAGGAAAGTTCAAAACTTTTATTAAAGTAAAACAGAAACGAGTTGCTGTGGAACTGCGACCGCAGCAACTGCAGGTGTGGGGCACAAACAATTACTGTTTCTCTGGAGAGAAACACAGGTTAGTGGCCACGATCATCTTAACAGAAGATGATAATTAGAGTGAGTCACTTATCTAGTTCAACAGTACAGTCCACTCAGGAACGGACAGATCCGGGTTCCAGGAATCCATCAGAGCGCGAAGGTAGGTTCAGAGTCCTGTGCGTCGAGCATCCAGCTCAGACAGAAACACACCTTGGAGGACAGGTTCAGTCAGGGTCCAGTGCGTTGAGCATCCAGCTTAGACAGAAACGCACAGACGGGCAGAATCCAGCAGCAGTCCAACAGAGGTTCAGGCAGGCAGGTGAGACAGGGACAGACAGGGCCAGTGGGTGAGAGGAAGCGGAAGCAGGAAAATAGAATAATTAGGGAAATGCTGAAACGCTCTCACCACTGGTCAGGGAATTAACTCACCTAAGGACACTGGCTGAAGAATAAACTCCTCACTGGACCAGGGACATGAACCTTGGAAATGAACCTAAAGCAGAACTGACAGACTAGACAAGCTAACAATGATCTGGCCATGATAGCTGGAACTGAGCCCAATATAAGGGAAACCTGCAGGTGGATTAGATTAATTATAATTGGGAGCTGGAGAGAGTTAAGCAGGTGAAAGGCATGAGTAATTTAGGTGAGCTATCAGGGCAGATCATGACACTTCTCACAGTGTCGATTCAGGCTCGATTCACATGATTTTTTTATAAATGGATCGCGGATCCATTCTTTTGCAGTTCGTGGGTCTTTTGTGGTTGAGCAGTACTGCTCAAACTCTTTTAAAAGCAAAACATGTGATTGTGCACCAGCTGTGAGAATGGTGGTTCAAGGTCAGTCTCTTCCAAAATCCCTGCTAATGTTTGAAACATGTTAAATATTCTTGTGTTAACTCGCCGTCCCCAGAATTCCAGTTTGGCTTTAAATGCAGCTACTTTATCTGCCGTCTTGAAGACAGTTGTCATTTTCCCTTGAAGTGACAGATTGAGTTCATTGAGCAGGTTGAATATATCGCATAAGTAAGCAAGTTTGATGACCCAGTCCTTGTCACTGAAATGTGCTGCCAGTGGTAGCTGCTCAAACAGATGCAAGTTAAGGGCATCCACTTTGACGTGGTTAATAACTTTAACAACATCATTCCATACGCTGTTTCAACCAACTGGAACTAGAGATTTTAATGAAGAAATAAAAGAGAAAGGAGAATGTGTTTAAAAGACTGTGAAACAGTGCTAAAGCTGCAAAGGAGAAGAAGATGGCAAAGGAGAAGATTGTTGCTCGAGTTGATGCATAGGTTTATACAAAGTATAAAAAAATTAATTAATAAACAAATAAATAATGGGGATTGATGGCATAATGAACCCAAGCATTGCAGTTGTGTCCTGGAAGTTTTGAGTTCAAATACCACGGCCTCCACTCTCGGTCACTGAGTTAGACACTTAACCCCACACTGCTCCCCAGGCGCCACACAGTCGCTAACCACTGCATCCCCGAGGGGATGGGTTAAATGCAGAGGTCATTTTCTTCAGTTTGAAATTAATAAAGTTCAATTATAATTATAAAGTTCAGTATGGCAGGTAGTTTTAACATTTATTGTGTGTTGTTCCCTTGGTAGATCAGGGGAATAGGGCTGTTCCTGTTATAACTGTAATAACAGATCTTCTAAATTATATATTTGCAGTAGAAACTGAAATTCACAAAGTAAATAACTACATTGCACTAGAAAGAATCAAGTTTTATAATATTAAGTTTTATCCAGATATGTTTAGACACTTTAAGTCATTGTTTTGATATTCATCAGCTTGACTGAATATGTATTTATGATATCTGAAATACATTTCTTCATAGTCAAAATAATTCCCCCCCGGCAAACGTCCAATTAGACCTACGATGTATCTTAGGGACGGGACCATGTGTTTACAATTGCTTGTTTGCTTCGAAATGTAATGTTAAGTATACTTTCTTTAACTTATGACTGGATCTTTAAGACATTTAGTTGAATCTGCTTTAGATTCTGGCAATAGTTTAGATTCTGATTCTTGCTTTAGCCATGTGCAACAAACAAGGAAATGGGTGTTCTGAAGTTGAAGAAGACAGAATAAAGCATGTTGGGAAAATCTGTCTCTATCCTTCGGCTTCTCCTTCTAAAGAGATTCAATCATCATTTAATTGTACCCTCATGTTACATCTATTTATCAGCTTCATACATGTTATAACGGGATACTGTCAGGTTCATCTGCACTGATGAAGACACAGCTGTGCTGAGATAAACTCTGGACAGCTGCATGTTACCTGAAGATCCATGAAACATCTCAACATATTTTCCTTCTCTTACAGGTCTGAGAATGAGGAGCCGACCCGAGGTGAGAGCTGGTTCTGTTTAAAGCAGTTCTGTTCTGACTCCATCTCATTGCATGGACCTCAGAATCTAAAAACAAGTCCTTTAAATGTTTTAAGATGTTGATGCAAAAGCTGATTTTGTGTCACTGATAAGTGCTTCCAGATAAAATATTTAAGTAACAGAACCAAAGCCATTCTGTAAAGATCCAGGGATCCAATTAAGGAGAAAAACCCAATGATCCATTTCTTGCATCACAGATATAAACTGTACACTAAAATTCTTTCAAGTTTCTATACTTCAGGTTCCTCAAACTTTGTCCTGGTTTGTTGGATATCGGGTACTGAATTGAAACATCACAACAGCACTGTAGTGTTTAATCAGAGTGAAATCATTTAAACTCCAATGTGTTATTCCCAAGCTGTATAATTGATCAAATAATAATTCAATATCTAAGCAAATTATTAATGTCAAAATAACCCAAATCAATTTACTTTGTTAAATCTGTCACAATCTGTTATATTTTTTTAAATACCAGTAGAATATAACTAAATAGTAACTTTTTATTCAGATCCAGACAACTTTATTTATCCCCTAGGGGCAAGTCTATCCATAGACATTGGTTGCAGCAAATAACAAAAGCATTCCACACATATACACAGAGTTCCACAGGAGTATCTCAATGTCTAATTTGTTGTTGATTCTTCTCAAAAATTACAATTTGATATTTTTATATTTGAATCCTTAAATGTGTAAAATTTAAAAAGTTTAAATAGGCCAAACGCTTTTGCAAGGCCCTGTATGCTAATAATAAAGCATTTCTCCTTTAAAGTGAGAGGGTAAGACCCATTTCTGTCCAAAGGACTTGACTTCTTCTGTTTAACTGAGACATGGGTAAGGATTCTCTATCGGTCAGTCTGGCTGGCCAGTCTAGGAAACACACAACTTGACAATTCATGCACATTTAGCCCTGTTCATGGGGAAGTCAATTTTCAGTACAATATGTATCTTGGGATGGCAAATTGGTGCTATTTAAATAAAATGAATCAATCTGATAAATGGGCCGATGGTTAGATGGAGGGGTTTTTTTAAATTCATTATTTACTTCAGACTTGGACTTTTTATGTGGATAACTGATGATTTCCTGATTGAAATAAATGATCTGAATCTGCCACTTTTGTAAAGAAATTTTTTCATCCTCTGCACCATAGATACCAGGCATCTCAGAAGATGATTGGACAGACACCATGGCCAGAATCTTTAAGATGCTGGAGGACGCTCAGTATAAGGAGATGGTGGATTTTTTTGATGAGCAAGGTGTAATAGATGCTCCAGCCAAGTTCACAGCCAAGTTTAAGAGGGAGCTTCCTGAGAAACTGATTCAGAAGTGTGGGATAACTGAATCAATCTCTGTGGTCAACGAAGCAATAAAGGAGATACCGAGGAACGACCCTGGTGTCCAGAACCTGCTGCGTCCATTTGTGGCCAAATTACCGCAGAACTCAGCATAGAGGGTGAGTGTTGGGTGTATCATGGTCAGGCCTGATCCTTTACCATATGGGTTAAAATGTTCCTGTTAACTTCTGATTTCCTGGTTCTGAGGAGAACGATGAGAATATCCATGGATGGTGGAGGTTCTGGGTCCGTATCAGAAAATGTTGAGGTTTTTTTTTTTTTTTCAAGCTGATCTACATGATCAGGTTAAGATCCTTCATCCTTCATGTTGGTCAGTCGGTGGTTTTCTACTCAAACTGTTTGTATTTAGTAGCTTCAGTAATGATGAGTCAAAGTGATCTCAGGTTTTATTCTCCATCATGGTTGAAAGTTCTGGTCCACAGCCCCACCTTCATGCTCAGATGACACCATAGCTAAAAAAAAAAACACTTTAGCAGAACCTCCCATGATGCCCCTGCTGGTAGCATGGTTTTGGTGCCCCAGACTTCTGCTGATGTTCTGAGCTTTGTGAAGAGGACATTTCTGGAACTCCACAAATAGCAGGAAGAGAAGCCTATTTATTAGCTTCACACATGTTCTAACGCAGTGGTCTCCAACCCTGGTCCTCAAGATCTACTGTCCTACAGATTTTAGATGCATCCCTGCTTCAACACAGCTGAATCAAATGATTGATTACCTTTTTAAGCCATTCATTTGATTCAGCTGTGTTGAAGCAGGGATGCATCTAAAAGTTTTAAGAAATTATCTGCTTCAGTTTATCTCAATAAACTAAAATGAGAAAAAGGGATTTTAGCTAAATTAGTGATGATTATTTGAAAAATTTCTAATAAACGTTGTAAGCTGTAAAAACTGATTCGAAACCAAACACGTCTCTGTAGGTAGTGGATAAAGTGTTTTTTTTTTAGTTTTTTTTTATTTTTTATGTTTTTTGCTGGAAGAATCTTTTCATTAAAAGGGCACCATGGTAAATGACCCCTGAACCCATCTTGGCTTTATTAATCTGTTTCCTTTTCTCTAAACAGAACCCGGAAGATTTCCGCGTCTAAAAGTTTTATCCATATTACCACATGCAGAGATGCTTTCCACATGGCCAGAAGAAGAACCAAAACCATCTTTGGATAAATTCCTAGATATTAATACATTTAAAGATAAATGATTTATGAATAAATCAGACTGTCAAAATAAAAGAATTTAAAAGAAAACTTCTGCCATTTGTCTCCAGTTATTGTTTGAAATATCTCTAAAATGTATAATTAGAATCAACGTTTGTTCCTACAACTCTGCACAACATCTAAATATTTCACATTCAAATTTAATTGTTGGGTTTAAATCCAGAGAAATGTGAGTTTAAGAGTTTAAAGAGGATGAAATGATCAAACACAGACAGGGATTTGCAACATCAGCCTCTGCACAGGGGAGAAGAACTGCTGGCTCACAACCAGCACCTTTTCTCACTGTTCCCTTCACAGCAGAGCCTTTTATTTACAGTTTACAACATAATAGGGCGGGTCTTAAACAGAAGACCCTGTAATGATTGTCTGGCAGGATGCAGGTCATAAGACAGTGTGACTCTGCCTTATGACCTATTGGCCGGAGGCAGGTCATAAAGGAAATAACCCTGAAATGACCATCCGGCTGGATGCAAGTCACAAAACAGTGTGACTCTGCTTCACTACTGGATGCAGGTCATAAAAGTTTATGACCCTGTAAATGCCTTCTGGCTGAAGGCAAGTCTAGAATGACCCTCCTGATTGAATCACAGGACAGAATGTAGCATCTTATTTCTTCAATGTTTCATATGCACACATATTAATTTTATAATTGTCATTCAATAACCCTAGCATTAATATCTCAAATCAGACCAGTAAATATGATTTTATTCTACAAATGGGCTGGGGCCCCTAGACTGGGTTGTGGTCTCCCCCAGGTGCTTAGCGCCTAACTCCACCGATGGAGGTTGGGGAACAGGGTAACTACTGGGGTCAGTAGGGGAGATGGCTCCCTGGGAGAACCCTATTCCCCAGTTCTTTCTTCCCCATCTCTGATGCTTCTCTTCTCCTGCTCTATCACACTATCACACACATAGGATCTCGGAGAGGAGATCGTCCCCAGGTTGGTCTTATGCAAAAGGTCTCCAATAATGTAAATCTGCACATTTATCTGTCCATATTCCTTTTATGAGGGAAAAATGCATTTGGTAAAATTTGACCACTTTTGGCACCACTGTGCCAGAACCACATTAGACAAAGTTGCCTCATTAATGCTGACATAATCCTCTTGCTGCAGGCAAGTTTCTGTAAGAAAATGTAAATCAATATGATCATCACAGATCAATGATTTAGCTAAAATACTTTTTTTTAAGAAAGACACATTTTGTTAAATAAACCACATTTAATCAACTTTTTCCCCTGTTGGAGTAATTTGAATCTTAATTAGGTAATCATGATTTACTTCTTTAGGATTCTTTTCTAATTTATTTGATTGTGGGCAAGACACTGTCTGGATGGAGTAGGGAGGTGTGTTAAATTACAACTATGCTTCCTGAACTGCATGGGTTGTGAGAGTGTTCTATGACTAGTAAATTTACCCACATTCCTAGAAAGAAGAACTGCACCATCCAAAGTGTGATGGATGTGGCTCCCCGAATCAGACCAAGTTTTCCTCAAAAAGATTTGTAGCCTAAGGTTAGGCTATGGTTTAGGCTACAGACCTCAATAGAAGCTGCAAACACAGGGCTCTGTTGGCTCATTCCAAAAGAACCCTAAATTGACAGTGTTTTAACCTAAGTGAACTGAGGCATTGAAAGAACAGAATAAACAAAGAATCTCCAATAAGACTTCAGTATGATGATGTATTTTGATTCCAATAGGATGATTCCAGAACATTAGATTTCATAATAACCAAAAATGTCCTTTCAGTGCTGAGATTGTTAAGATTCTCAAGTTCATAGAAGGAAACAGCAGAATTATAAAAACATAAGAGATGAACTTCTTTACATGTTTTAAGTCAGAAAGAATCATCACAAGATAATCAATTATGCTACATGAGTTTAAAGAGCCATCTTCTCCAAAGACAATTAATAGGTTTATAAAATTTTAAAGGACAGTTTCCTTATTCGTCTACATTTATTTATTAAGTTTAAGTTGAATTATCTTGTTTCCTTTGATATTTGCTTCCTTCCGCTGAAATAGGCATTTTCTCCAGGAGTTCGTCTTCAAAGTCGTCCTCCAGTTTGATACCGAGAACTTTAGCCACGGAGGAGAGGCCATGATGAAGGTGTCCGTCTGTTTATTGATCTGCACGTCTAGCTTAGACTCCTTCTGGTCAAATCCTATGATCCCTACGATCTCGTTGGAAACATTCTGCACATCAGCTTCTTGGATCTGGACATAAACCGATAAACAGAACATTTGGACATTAGCAAAAAGACAGATTGCTTGGATCTGTTACAAACTCTGTCAAAAGGAATTTACCCAATGTAATACAAACTTTATAGTCAGTATGTTTGCTCAGATAAAAAATAGTAAAAAATTTGAAATTAGGCTTCAGATTGCTTGCATGTTGTTTTTGATGTTCTGCTAAATCATTTCAATATCTCCTTTAGTTCAAAACGGCTAAAGCAGAGATTACCGTCTGTTGACAGAGTGGTGTGGTGTCCACCATAATGCTGTCAGCAGATGTAAAGAATTAGCAGTTGTTCTACATTCCTACCCTGACTTTAGGTCATGAAATCTGGATCATGACCATTATGGACGAGATCCTGGATACAAGCGGCTGAAATGAGCTTCCTCTGCAGGGTGGCTGGGCTCTGCCTTAGGCCGGGCATTTACTGTACGAGTTTCTGTGCTTCTGTGTTCATGAGCAAATCCTGCTGCTGAAGCAGAGCTACAAGACGATTTATCTGAACCTCATACTCTGCACATTAACAAGCAATGGAATTCTTCTTCTTCTACTACTGTCAACGTTTGGCTTCTAGCTTGACGAATCTGACCAGCGCCATCTCTCTGTGCTTAGTTCGACATTTGGTTTTTGGCCATACAGTGTGAGCAGTTAGATTGCATCAGAGCATCAGGCCGTACAGTGTAGACAACATACATCACGAGCTGTGAACTTTTAAAGTACCACAATTGAAAATATCGTACAGTGTAAGCCCTCCCTTAGAGATAGGGTAAAGAGCTTGGGAATCTGGGAGAGGCTCAGAGTGGAGCCGCATCTCCTCCACATCTAGAGGAGTCAGCTGTGGAGGATCAGATATCTTTTTATGATTGATTCATTGTAGTTTAACTTCTAAAAACTATCATCTTTTACCTCTTTTATTATCACAGCTACCTCTCTTCACTCTGTCTGATTGAGCAAAATTTAAAGGCATGCAACACTTTCTGATTTTCTCTCCAGAAAAACAGACTCTGGCTGTAAATCAGCATCCCTGAAATTCTCCACTAGGACAGTGTTTTTCAACCCTGGTCCTCAAGGCACACTGCTCTGCATGTTTTGAATGTTTCTGAGCTTCAGCACACCTGATTCAGATGAATGCAGTTCAGCAAAGTCTGATATTCTGCTATCAATTGATAACAGGTGTATGAAAGCAGGGAAACATCTAAAACATGCAGGGCAGTGTGCCTTGATGACCATGGTTGAAAAACACTGCACTCTGACATTTCTGAAATTGTAGGAGCATCCCTCTTGAAACTTCTGGAAATGCTCCTTTCCATACACCATGACTTTGATGCAGTCGGTCTCATCAGCGACTCCCAGGTAGAAGAAGACCTTCTTCTTTTCTTTGGTTTTATATGTACGTAGACCAGATTTCTGAACAACCTTTCCCTCGACACATTTTCTATTAGGGCCTCCACCATCAATCAGGCAATTGATGCTGATCCTCTGGTCATGTGTTTAGAGTGAAGACAGACATTCACAAAACAAATATTTCCTTGAAAACAAATTAGAATATCCCTAGTAAAACTACAAACATCCAACTCACCCATGATGGCAGAAAGATAATTATCGTAGAGACATGGTTTTCACTTCATTCATATTTGGGCATTTTCTCTCTAAATGTATTCATAGACTTCTGCTGTTTTTTAACCAAAGGCCTCTCTTCCTCCAGCTGCACCAAATTATGCTCATACTGAGAAAGATTAACACTATGAAGATTCAATTCCGTTTCAATGCAATGCCATCTCAAGACACTTTACAGAGAGAATTCAACCAGTTCATACAGTCAGATTGATGAAAGGTTTTTATGTAAGGAAAACCAGTGGATTTGACTCGAAGACAATCCCCTCACACCAAACTTGCTTGAAGCGACAATGGAGAGGAAAAACCCCCTTTGAACAGGAAGAAACCTCAAGCAGATCCAGGCTGAGTGTGAGAGGCACCTCTACCGAGGCCGACTTGGGTTCTGTCATGTAGAGTCTAAGTTTAAGTGCATAATATTGCATACTGCGCATATGTGACGCAGCTTTGAGTTCTATGCACGCAGCGCGTGATGTACGTCAGTCACTGAAGCAGTCTGTACGTGCTACGTCATCAGTCGGTCGTGTCTGTGTTCAATAAACTATTTTCGCTAGAAATACTGTCGTCCAGCGAGCGTTACTTGAGACGTAAACGCCACATGGTGTCAGAAGACAACTGGATTGGAGCTGTGTAACGTCGGACGTGAAAAAGAAAAAAAATAAATAAATAACGAAGTGTGTATCGCCATGGCAAAGTTTAACCCACCGGAGCAGTTCGACTTCTCTAAGCCCGAAGCGTGGCCTGACTGGAAGCTACGATTCAGCAGGTACCGCATAGCTTCACTGCTCGCGGAGGAGGAGGAAAATGTGCAGGTAAATGCATTGATCTATTCCATGGGAGCGGAGGCAGAGCACATATTCAAGGCTTTCACGTTTACTAATGCAGCAGATGCTGACGTTTACGACGTTGTAATGGCTAAATTCGACGAACATTTCATCCCGAAACGAAACGTGATTTATGAACGCGCCAAGTTCCACTCAAGAGCTCAACAACCAGGCGAGAGCGTGGAAGCATTCGTAAGGCAACTGTATGAGCTAGCTGAAAACTGTGACTTTGGAGCACTGAAAGAGGAACAAATGCGGGACCGCATAGTGATTGGAATTCGGGATAAACAAGTGTCACAAAGACTGCAAATGAAAAGTGATTTAACACTGAAGACTGCCATTGAAACAGCCAGGCATTGTGA